ATTTGTTATTGCAGTAATATGAATTCTGAGCAAATCCGATGTCCAACTCACTGTCTGTCGGAATAAGCATCCAAAAAGGACACAAATCTGCAGCATAGTCTTCATGGGTTAATCTGAAAAGGATGTAAGTCCACAGACATTTTATCCTTTACAGCTTACTTATATAATCCATTATGCTCTTGAAATGGTTTCTTTTATACAATTCAAGTAGTGTACTATTGAAGAATGAGATGCTCGAACAATAGAAATAATAATGCCATACATCTGTGTGAGCTTGAAAATCCTGCGTTCTACACTATTGTGATTACTCATTCACTCCGTCATTGGTGGTTGTAGCTGCTGTTGCTGCCACGGTGGCCAGGTGTAGACTGACAGAAACCAAGCAGATAATCAGCACCATCAGCTCCTCCAACCGTCACAATAACTCATACACTGTCTTCAGCTGGATGAAGAGTCTTGCCAAAGGATACAATGACTGAGCAGATCCAGTGTCTGTCAAAATAAGCATCCAAAAATCACACAAAATAAACAGTAGCACAGTCTTCATAGGTTAATATATGGAAGCTAATCCACAGCCATTTTATTCCTTACACACTCTGTACCATTATGCTCTTGAGACTGTGAATTCAAGTACTGTACTCCAACTTAAGTATGACATGCTCAAACAATAGAAATAAGATTTGCCGTGCGTCTGTATGAGCTTGAAAATCATGTGCGCTACACTATTGTCATGTCTCGTTATTTGTGCCATATTGTCCAGGAAAGCAGAACAAAGCAGCCAATGAGCGCTCCTCCGACCATCACAAATCACTCATACGCTGCCGTCACACATGGGTAAAGTGGATGAAGTGTCTTGCCAAAGCATACAATAAGTCAGCAGGGATTGAACCACAGATGTCTGAGTTGGACAGCAAGTGCTCTAGTCACTGAGCCACTGCCAAATCAATGCTAATGTATCATAGTAATTAATAACATTTGTTTTCATCACGCGTTGTTGTCTATGTTGTGCTTGCAGACTTGTTTATGCCTGTCACGATAAATGTTATACTGATTTATCATTCAACACACGATACATGGAACAATCATTTTTGGGGGTCAATTATATTTCATGGGAACTTCTGCTTGCAGTATTGGGAAAATAGTAATTTTTTTTTTGTACTACCATCACATTTGAGCTATAAAAGGTTGAATTATGAACTTCTATGACTCATTATAGACACAAACTAACTAAATATGAGGCTCCTGCTAGACCATTTATCAGGAATAGGTCACACATAGGCACTAAAAGCTTGCACATATACTACTTTTTCTTGCACATGCACATGAAAAGCTTACACATACGCTACATTTTCTTGCACATGCTGATAAATAGCTTGCACATAAACTATTTCTGTCATGAGCATGTCTGTCAAAAGCTCACACACAAACTACATTTACATTACACATGCACCACTTTTGTCTGCACATCCACATCAAAAGCTCACACACATTTTACTTTAAATTTTTGTCTTGCACATGCACATTCAAAAAACACACACATATACCACTTTTCTCTTACACATAGTGCACTACCAAATCAAAACTGTGCTGTGATACGTGTTTGATAAATGTACGTGCAAGGGACAGTTGTGTGTGCGAGCTAAAATTTAAATGAGATCAGAGAGCAGCAGAGTCTCCGCCCCCATAGATCTCAATACGTGTATCGTGAGTTCATTTGTTTTTCCAAAATAAAACTAAAAATAAGAAAATTTAAAAACAACTATTTTCTTCATTATTTGTCTCCAAAACCAAAATGAAAAAACGGATAACGATTAGATTTTTTCAGTTTTCAATTCTGTGTTTACATGAATAATGAAAAAAGAAACGGATAACAGATATTCCATTTCCATGACTTAAACTGCGATGCCGGACTTTTGCGTCGCATGTGGACTGATCCCAGGACTAAAACAGGCCTACATCAGGACTAAATGGTTTATGTGCAAGCTTTTCATGTGCATGTGCAAGGAAAAAAAGTACATGTGTAAGCTTTTTAGTGCATATTTATTACCTATTTCTGATACATGGCCTAGGGGGCGCCTCAACTTAAGTGTTGCAGCTCATATTTTCAACAATATTGTGCATTTAGAATACTTTTTAGGGGGTAATTCCTCTTTATGGTTTGGTTTCAATATTATCGTCTGTCAATCTTCTATATTTACTTCAACAATATATTGCTCTCTCCAAAATTCGTGACTAGACTAGACTAGACTCACCACTTAAATACAGTAGACCGAAACCTTAATATACCAATGCATACAGATCTATAATCATAAGGATTTATTGTCATAGCACCACTTATACTACTTAATTCAAACGTCATTCAATTAGAAGTTATATACCAGATGGCTATTACACTGGTCTGCGTACAAAATGTTACCAGAATACATGAATGACAAATAGGGCAGTAAACAGCTTAGCAATAATAATCTCACTAATTATTCGTCTCATTTGCAAATGCGAATGGCTTGAGAAATCATCAGCGTCAAATGCTAAGTCATGTTGTCTTTGTTGTCCAGCAATCAGTACATTCAAATGCGGTGTTAAATACAGAACATTACGACAGGGGAAAGAACTTTATTTTTGTTACTGACCGACTCGACTACTTCACAATCATCTTAAATTATTAATTAAAAGCAATCCATGCAAACAATTAGCAATTATTGAAAATGTCTGATTGAAAAAACTAACGTGATTAGATTGTTGATTTATTTATGCAGCGAGGCTCAGTTGACACGGTGCACATTTTAATACAGGAACCCAAGGACTGAAACATGAACTGACAAACTAATTTAAGACTGACATGTATTTCATAAGTTAAATAAACTATAAACATCTTGTACAAATCATTTTATAGACGATATCACATTATAACTGCAACTTTTGTCATTTGCTAATTGTAACCATTCAAATTTCAATTAATATAATCTTTCTGATGTCCTGATGTTGTTTCCTCATCACAAACACACCCAGAGTTGTGTTTTGTTTCATTCACACATGTTTAACACACAAAAACGTCATTTTTAGGCTGAGTTCTTCTCTCAAACAGAAAACACTCTGCTCCACCTTGTGATGTCATGTGTTAATACAAATTCCTTCACTGAAATCATTTGGAGAATTGCCCATCGCTACTAAACCAAAGGTAATAGGTAATAGGTTTTGTTAACTTGAAAACTACTGATTCATGACATCACAAGGTGGAACAGAGCAAGGTGAGATTTAGAGTTGAAAACAGACTAATAATACAGTGTCAATCAAACGTGTGAATGCAAGAAAACACAACTTCAGGTATATTTTTTGAGGAGGTAACAGCATTCTAACATGGCTTAAAACTCACAAGAGGCAATATCAGGCTTTAATCAGAATGACTCAGGCTTAGTAACTACTTTATTAAGAGGTTAGTCTTATGCATCTAATTATTCAGCTTGAGTGCTTTTCACAACTTTTAAAGACCAAAGCTGAGTTTTGATGTGATGCATGTTAACACACGCTTCCCGATTATTGAACAATAAAATGCTTTATGATTAGATTTTTAGACTTAATGTAGAAATGATGCAGTGAACATATTCTGACCTCCAAGAGCGTCATGTACAATACATCTGTACTGGGTAAGGTGACCAGACATCCCTATTTACCCAGGACAGTCCCAGTTTTGTGTCCTGTGTCTGCTGTCCCAGCAGATTTATCCAAAGCCACTGATTTGTCCCAGTTCTATATAAAAAATGTCCCCGTTATCTCTGTTTTTGACCAATTTGTTACACACCAACAGTAAAGAGGGGGTGATATTGTTTTTTGTTAAGCTAAAACACAGAAAACTGTAACTGAAAATGGTACTGACAGAAGTCCCTTTGATTATGATGGACCCACAAATGAGTCAAGAATGGACAACACCCTTTTTTATAATTTTCTTTATATCAGCCATCCCAACCCTAGTGTGTCCCAATTTAGAATTTTGAAAAACTGCTTTATTAGCTCCAATTTAGCTCAATTACATGAGCAAAATTGGCTACAGCACTATTAAGGCTAACTAGGTGTAGTTATTAAGTGTTACCAGTGCGTCTGTCAGTGTGTATTTTGCCGCTGGTGTTATTAACTTTCCCTGGGGGTGTGATGCTAACTATAGGCCCTGCTCTGTCTGATGTCTACCTGACCTTTATTTGTATTTGTATTTTTGTATTTATGTATTTATGTATTTATTTTGGGTAGGTAGAGATTTACATACTTATACAATGGAACATAAGTGAAATCATGATAGAAATGAAAATAACCACAACAAAAACTTTGCCCAAAAAGGAGTGGGAAACCTAATTACTGTAATGCATTGCTTTTTCTGTAAAGCGTTAATGTAAGGCAATACAGGTAAAAAAAAAAATATAATATATATATATATTACATATTTTTACTCGGTACAAATGTCAGTAGCACGTGTTACAATGCTTTTTTCATCTGGATTGAAGTGGTGAGTTTTTCATTTTTCTTCATACATATTCATCAAAATCAGCAGGTAACCGCGAGCTTGAGGTTCTCTCAGGGGCAGTCCTAGATTTCAAGTTGTAGTCCAAGATTATTCCTGGTTTAGTCCTGGTTTAGACTTGGTTTAGACCTGGTTTAGACTTGGTTTAGACCTGGTTTAGACTTGGTTTAGACCTGGTTTAGGCCTGGTTTAGACCTGGTTTAGACCTGATTTAGACCTAGTTTAGCCCTTGTTTAATCCTCGGTTCATTTCTGGTTTAGACCTACTTTAGTCCTGGTTCAGTTCTGGTTTAGACCTAGTTTAATCCTGGTTCAGATTTGGTTTAGACCTAGTTTAGACCTAGTTTAGTTTAGTCCTAGTTTAGTCCTCGGTTCAGTTCTAGTTTAGACCTACTTTAGTCCTGGTTCAGTTCTGGTTTAGACGTGGTTTCAGTCCTTGGTTCAGTCGTGGTTTACTCATGGTTCGGTCCATATACGTCGCAAAAGTTCAGCATCAGATGCTATAAAAAGATGTGCTCATTTGCTTGTTTTCAAACAGATCTATCAGTCATGGCTGGACAAGTCGACGCCGTTCTACGCAGTGAGATGGGCTGCGACTTTACTACTGACAGCTATCTACATGATCAGAGTGTACATACTACAGGTAACGCAAAACAGACTTTGTCAGTACATTTACCTAAAAACACATTTCAACCCAAGTTTGATTAAATTATTGATATTACTCAAATTTCTCTAATCAAGAATTTACTGTTTAAGCTGCCCTGTGACACTTTTCTGTAATCTGATAGTCTTCTTTGCTTTGTCTGGAATGTCTCATAGTACGGCATATCTTGTGTTTATTCAGTTATAAGTGTTTTGTTGGGGGGAAAAAAAAAAAAGGAAATGCATTAATTTTTGCTGTGAGCTGGATCCTTCTCTACAGATATGTCATACTGTGGAACATTCAAGGCAAAGCAATAACATAGAAAGGTTACTGTATTTTTCGGACTATAAGTCACACTTTTTTTTTCATGGTGTTTTCTGCGACTTATACTGGGGTGCGACTGTTATATTAAAATTTTCACACTGACAGCCGCGAGAGGCTCTAAGCTTGTGTGCCAGTATCTTCTGCTCCTATTACTCCTGTACTGCTGTCAGTTCGCCCTCTACTGCACATGTCTCTTGTAGACAAAGCTGCTGTCCTGCTGCAAGTAGCGCGAAATATGCAGCTGAAAACTGTAATCGAGCAGTAGAAAGAAAGTTTTGGAGTGAGTGAGAAACTTGTGAGGGACTGGCGGAAAGCGGGGATGAAGAACACAGCTTCACACGAACCGAGAGGGTGCACCATGCAAATTTCCTTGAAGTCATTGGATGGATGGACAAAGCCTGGACTCCAGTGGCACCGAAACCATCCTGTCGGGATTCAGAAAGGCCGGAATAATTTTAACTGGATCTGATGCTGAGTCTGACGACAGCTACACAGAAGAGGAAGCAGCGCTCTGTTTTCCTCAGGAGGTCGTGGAGTTGCTCAGAAGTGACACAGAGAATGAAGAATTGAATGGATTTAGTGATTTTGGAGTGAGATGGAGAGTTTGTTAAACTTGTTCTGTTCTGTTCTGTAGTATAGTTATCTGAAGAACTGTTCATATGTGACTTTAATAGCCTGTTGTTCTGTGTTCTATTGTTATTACTAGAACTTGCCTTTCACGATGAAATGTCAGTTCCTGGTCTCTGAATTTATAAAATAAATTTCCCCCAAAAATTGCGATTTATATGTTTGTATCTTCTTCATTACGCATTTTTGGCTGGTGTGACTTATACTCCAGAGAGACTTATAGTCCGCAAAATACTGTACATAGAAAATTGTGTGCAACTTTACAATGGTTTCAGTTTTGTTTTTGTTTTTGTCAAACCAAAACAAAGGCTAAATTAATACAAAACAGCAAACTAAACTTTAATTAAAACTGTAATCTCTCTTTTCAGGGTTGGTATATAGTAACTTATGCTTTGGGAATCTACCATCTCAACCTCTTCATTGCTTTCCTATCGCCAAAAGTGGACCCATCGCTGCTTGATGAAGGTACGTCTGTGAAGGGAGAGAAGAAGCTGCTATGAAAACATACACATCAGTTTAACTAATGAATGAATAAACATAATAATTTGATTTCCTTATCGCAGATGACGGTCCAGCTCTTCCGACCAAGCAGAATGAGGAATTTCGTCCATTCATCAGGAGGTTACCGGAGTTCAAATTCTGGTATGTGTTTCAATTGTTCAGAAGAAGTAACATCACGATTGGATTATGATTTATGACCAAACATGACCTAACAACCTTGGTTGAAAAATCAGGCATGTTACAAAAGTGATCCAGAATCCAGGATTTCTTCCGGATCACCCCCAAAATGAAATCAGTTCTTCCTTTTCACATTTCCAACAAATCCTGAAAATTTCATCAAAATCGGTCCATAACTTTTTGAGTTATGTTGCTAACAGACAAACAAACAAACAAAAAACAAACAGACAAACGCCGGCAAAAACATAACCTCCTTGGCGGAGGTAATAAAGGCTAAATCATGGCTGTGATACTAAAAGTCTTTGTTAAACCACTTCTTGTGCAAAATTTATATGAAACACGCCCATTTTAATCATCAAAACAGTGAAAATGTCAAATGTGTCACAACAACAAGTTTTCTTCCTCTGAACAAGCAACAAAACTGTAGCGCTGTAACAAAATAATTTAGTAAAATACACCAAAAAATACTCTTGCCGATATGTCAATACAGCAGCCCATAATATCAATACCGTATCATCACATATATCAATATCTCAATGTTTTTGCACACCCCGATTTAACAATTGTAGACCATAAGCCAAAATCCACATCCCTAAACATAAGGGATATAACAATAACCGAAATATTGTATCATCAGAACTCTCAAAATAATATTGTGTACTGTCGTAATATATCAAATTACAAGTTTGTTTGCTTAGATACATTGTTTTACAGCTGCAATAGCTAATAAACATCGAGAACTACATATGCCATGATCCATTTCAGGGCAGACAACATGAAGATATGGTTTTACTTGAATTCTTGGGATTATGACAGTAATAATTCACACCAAATTCATGTGGAGGTATTTTAAAAGCAAAAGTGTGTCCTGTCTACAATTATATTATCAGCCTCTCCAAAGTATCGCAATAAATATTGTACAGTGAGATGCATATTGTGATATCGTACCGAGGGATTTGGATATCATTACATCCCTACTAAACATTTATGGTAGTTTTACGTAGTAGCGCTGAAAACCTTATATGTATATCATCAGTATACAAAATTCCACCTAAAATATGAGGACAATTTATGGCAAGGCTCACATTTTTAAACATTCTTTTAAACTATAGGTGTTCTCATATATTCTGATTTGTCGAGTCATCACTATTGTGTAAATTAGGCTCGCGTTTTCCCTTGTTTACAGTATAATTGCAAGGTAGCAGTTAAGGAATTACCATCTGTTTTGTCTTTAGTTGTTCTTAAGCTTTGTCTCACACTCAGAGTACAACTAAATTCTGGTGTTATCACATTTATCTGTTTATACCTGTAGTGTAGTATAATGTTAAATAAATTGTATTATATTTTCTTGTTTTGAAGATACTGATGCCCAAAATCCCATGTCCAAAAAATACTGAAGGGACATTATGTAAATTTTCAGTTGGACGTCTGTCTCCTGCTTGTTTCTATGGATATGTCATTGCTCGGCTTCAAATGTTCCACAATATGGCATTAAACAGCTCTACCTTACATTTGTTCAATTACAGGTGGTTTAATTTCTCAAAAACACCTAAAAAAACATTAATTCTGACTGTGAGCATCTCCAGAGATCTTACCAGTAACTTGGCTTGATTTTAAAACCACACTGTGAAACATTTCTGACAAAGCTATAACATCTCCATGGAGAAAAGCACATTGCGGACCCTTCGTTAGAAAGGTTTTTAATGCAAATATTATTCATTTTCACCTGCTTTTAAAAATGCTAAAAGTGCATGTTACATCTGTTGCCTTTGTCTAAAAACTACAAAGCGAATTTTATAAACTTCACCAAAATGTTATAAATAATTCATGTTACCGAGGTTTTAGGGAAATGGGAAGTCTAACTTGTCGTGATAATTACTATACTGACTTATCGTTCAGTATACAGTATGAGAGATGGAACGGTTATTTTTTGCTGTCAGTACTGGTGGGAAATTTCTTTTTTTTTCTTTCTTTTTTTTCATATAAAATTTGAGCTGTAGATATCTAATGACTAATTATAGATCCAAACTAAGTACTACAGGAACTAAGTTTTTAACTCTGCTATTTATTTATTGCAGCTCCTGTTTTTTTTGTTTACAATATTGTGTATTTAGAATACCGTATTTTCTGAGCTATTAGATGCACTCTTAAACGTCCAACCCCCTCAAAAAACGACTGCGCACCCCACAATCCAGAGTGCCCTATACACGAATCCACTCGGGTGTCCCAGCACGACTTCAGTAAACTAGAAAGCCGCACCACCCGCAGAACACACAAACACACACGGAGCGTGAAACAGCGACCACACAGTGAAAAACACCCGCAGCCACACTCATCACTCCAGGCGGACGAGGAATGGACGAACCGAAAAAGCGAGTCCAATGTGCCACTTCTAGACACAACTGAACAACTGAGTCACTGCAAACACGCCGACAATCCAGCGGTCCCAGACAGCACCCTCCCTACACGCTAGAGATGCGCAGATTGCGGTTACAACCGCGGTATCCGCGGTTAATCTGCGGGTCGGGCGGATGATGTGACGAAAAATTATATTTTAATTAAATTCGGGCGGGTGGCGGTTTAACTACTAAAAAAAAAAAAAAAAAAGATAATGTTAGTATTGTTACCTACATCTGAAAAGACAAGTCTCACTGTCTATGCTTGTAGTATGAAGTGTACGTCATATCCTTAATTAGCCCATTTGACCTCGTTTTTATGTTCTGAAGGTTAAGGTTGTGTCGGGTTATTGATAGCCTAAGGTTTACGAGGCACATATTATATGCAGTTTATTTTATTATTTCTAATTTATTTCAGCTGTTTGCCAACACATAAGTGGCTATAGGGCCATATTTATTTAGTTATGCATATTTTTTCTTGCCTATTTCAATTGGAATATAAAGAGGGCATTGCCTGATTTCAGTAAAGGTTCATCTGGATGAGATGATCTGTCTATTTTGTTTCGATATCAGTTATATTTTAAAACACGCAGACATTATAGCGTAGTAGACTGCCACTCGGGGTATTTAAAACTTAAAGAAAGACCGATGGAGTGAGGCTATGACTTTGAAATAACATCGGGCAATGGCAGAATGTTCAGAATGTAACAACATCCAACACGAAGGCAAGAAGGTTCATAAAATAGTCTAGTCGGAAAACGTTGTCAATTAATTTGCTGCGCAAGAAAACCAGGTAAGTTTGGGGTTGTTGCGGACAATTAAGAATGCGAACATACACGCTGAGCGAATTTTGGAATGAATGAGCTATAGAGTTTGCATTTTTATCGAGGTTCCTTAGTTTGTTTGCTGTATGATTGTTCTAAAATCTAAAATCAATCGGCGGATGGCGGGCGGGTGCGGTTTTGAAAACCTTCGGTGCAAAATGGACAGCGGGCGGATGATGAGTTTTGTGTCGCGGTTGCGGATGAAAAAAATAGCCCATCCGCGCATCTCTACTACACGCCACAATTGAACAAAGCCCAGAGTCACCGTGAACGCTGCAAACATAGTCAGACTGACCCATCGAACTGTTGTGTTTCATTTAAAGTCCAGTTTATATTTGAAAAAAGTTTTGAAAATAGACCATTTAATGACAGTGCGTCTTATAATCCAGAGCGCCTAATAGCCCAGAAAATACGGTATTATATTTCTGCTTTATGGTTTGATTTCAGTATTGTTGATTATTGTCTATATTATGCCTGGATATGATTAAGAAGTCGCCGATACAATACGTACCTTGATACAGACGCCACGATATATATCTCAAATCAAATCAAACTATATTTATAGGGCGCTTTACATACAAAAATGCAACACAAAGCTCTATCTTGATACAGTGGATTTTCGATACATTTCAAATCGATTTGATACGGTTCAATAAAAAATAAAGGCTAAATTGTGGCTGTGATACTAAAAGTCTTTGTTAAAAAAACTTCTTGTGCAAAGTCCATATGAAAAACACCCATTTTAATCATCAAAACAATGAAAATGTCAAATGTGTCGCATAAACTCGTTTCCTTCCTCTGTACAAGCAACAAAACTGTAGCGCTGTAACAAAATAATTTGGTAAAATACAAACAAAAAAAACACTTTTGGTAATATAACGATACAGCAGCCCTTTATCAGTACTGTATCATCGCATTAAACAGTACGATTTTGATATTTTTGCACAATCTATATTTACTTGAGCAATATACCACGCTTCAGAATTGTGGCTTATGCACTTTATTCTTCGTTTTGAATGCATTTGTTTCAGTTTACTCTGCACAGACTTAACTGTTATTCTCTGATGCAAATTGTCTCTTCCAATAAAATTTCCATGCAGTAAAAGTATGTGGGTTGGTGGGTTGGTGTGTTGGTTGTCGGCGTAGAAGTGTACGGGGTATGGAAATGTCATCGCTCTGCCTGAAATGTTCCACAGTATATGACATTAAACTGCTCTACTTTACATTTATTCAATTACAAGTGATTTTATAGCTCAAAAATTCCTAAAAAAAAAAAAAAAAAACATGTATTCTGACAGTGAGCGGGTTTGCCTCTCCACAAACCTGTATCTTGGTGCAGTTTGGTCTCCATGAAGAAAGGTTTAATGCCACACTGTGAAACATTCCAGACAAAACGATAACATCTCCATCTATTAGCATCTTTTTGATTTGAAATTGAAATTGTGCCCCAGAACATATATAGTTGGGTATGTATTGTATAAGAGGCTCTTGAGGTTAAAATATGTGCAGTCTGCATCTAATTATAACGTTTTTTTACTGTCCAAGAATCAGAAGTGCGCTGTTTTTAGCATTTTAATATTTTAGGAGTTCTAGATGATACTGACAAGCTAGAACATTACAGTTTTTTTTGCATTATCTTGACAACAACATTCACATATTTCAAAAAAATCCATCAACAATGTGTTTAAAAAAAGCGTTGTGCCAGTTTCAGTATCTTGGTTGAGGTTCAAATCTTGCGCAGAACAGTGTAAAAGTAATCACAGAAATGCAGGATTATCATTTTATACCCTTGTTTCTGAGATTACTCTTGGTGTTTTCAGCTACTTTTATTTTGAATTGACTCGTTTTGGTAGCTTTTTAATATGTATATTTTTTAGTTCTTTGGTTTTACGGTATACTCCATATTCTAACTGTGCATATCTCTAGAAAAACAATTGCGACATTATCCATTTTTCAATATTTCTTCCATCCTAACACTTTGGACAAACCTTTGCAAATATTTAAAAACAAACTAGCTCTATTTTTCACATTTTTAAGACAGTAAAAATCAGATACAGCCCCTTTAACAGCGCATTTTTATTTTTATTTGTTGACAGGCATTCGGCGACAAAAGGCATCGTCATCGCCATGATTTGTACATTTTTCGAGGCCTTCAACGTGCCCGTGTTTTGGCCTATTCTGGTCATGTACTTCATCATGCTCTTCTGCATCACTATGAAGAGGCAGATCAAGGTAAGGGCTGCATTCTCCTCATTCCACAGTGTACTATTACCGTATTAAGATCACAGTAATAATGGACTGTTGTGAAAGTGAACAAGTTTCTTCAAAGTGCTACCAAGCATTTCACATTTTCAAGTTTTAGTGTTATAATGTCTGTAAAGAGAAAAAAAATCACCCTTTTACTTACACTTAGTCACATCATAGACTAGGGCCGGTGATATGGGATAAAAATAATCACGTTATTTGTTTTGTTTTTTCCCCCATATTGATCAGTCTCGATTTTCAATTTGATCTTCCTCCATTTTATTAAAAACGGGCAGGTGGAGTTCAGGGATAATGGACAGAGTGTCAGGATCACTAGTTTTTATTTCGTGTTGACAGGACCAATAATAATTCTGAAGAAAGGTTGACATGAGTTTGTACAACATTTTAATGCATATGCGCATTACCGTAAGCAACAGAAACACATGCACATGAACTACTGCACACTAGTTAAGCTTCATTCATAAACTGTGAGAAAATAGTTGTTTACTTGGATTATAATGCAAAAGAAAAAGCAAGGAGCTGTCTTGCCTTAGCACTGAGATTGACCAAAGTAGAGATCGCAATCTATTGATCTTTCAATTTTGGCACAGATCTACCATAGACTTTATACAGTGTTGGGGAAATACCGTATTTTTCAGACTATAAGGCGCACTTAAAATCATTGAATTTTCTCAAATCGTCAGTGCACCTTATGTATTAAATCTGTTTGTGCTTACTGTCCTCAAAACGATTTTATGTTGTACACGGTGCTCAAAAATCTGTCAAAATGTTTTAGTACAACTATGTTAAGCTATGAAGCCGCACCGCTTGGATTGTCGGAGCATTATGGCTACTGTAGTCAGGAGCCTCACAGAGTAAAGGGAAAAGTATATTTCTGTGTCTGCATTTATGACATCAGTGAAATGCTGCAGAGAACATATGTCACAGTAGATTTGTCACAGAGAGAACACACATTTTCCACTGACTCGTGTCCTTTAGTCTGACAGAAGGTGATCGCATCAGCACACAAGGAGCGAGCTGTTTTTTCAGAGCTTTTAGTTTACGCAAATGAGTCATGTGGTTTTAAGTTTTGTTTCTGTAAAATGTAAACAAATGTGCACAAAGCTGCATTAAACACTTTATTACTCAATGTATATTTGAGTTCTCCTCATAGGGAATAAAAAAAACACAAACTTAAATGATCCACCCCATTCACATTCATAATACACATTCACCAAGACAGGGAGGTGACGCGGGTGAATTACGCCACGATCTGCCAATGGATCATGGACGCCTGGACTAAAGGATCAGTCTCAAGTGTCGTCCATTTGTTCGACTTTTAATCCGGTGTGCCTTATGTA